GGCACGACAGGGAAAGAGTAGTGAGAGAAACCACAGTAAATCCATGAAGTCTGAACTACATCATGGCATGGAGTGAGGGATGCCCTGTCCTGCAGTGTGGGGACCGACACTGAGTACCCCGAGCTGCGGGATGAGCCAAGGGAGGACACCGTGGGGTTAGACCTGGAGAGCTTTGGGAAATCAGAGTGTTTCAGTCTCAGACCCCAGCAGATGAACAGCATTTGTTCTGGGCATCTTTTGGCATCATTAAGAGCAGTCAGGAGAGCTCCTGGTCAGGCTGGGGTGGCCTGCCTTGGGGACACTGCCTGTCTGGGGAACACTCTGCAAATATTTTACAGGACTTTGTTGTTTTCTTCCAGATACTTCTATTTTGCTTGTGTATATTTCTTACACAAGTGAATAAAGCAGCAGTTTACTTGCAGGAGGGTAGCTCATGTGAATAATGAACCTATGAGAAGGTTGGAAGTGGTTCTGTGTTGTTTGGGATGTAGAAATTATTCTTAGTGGAGACAGAGGCAGCCACAGGATGGGCATATGACAGAGTTCTGTTGTGCCCAGGAGCCGTGTAAAGGTACCCTACGTGTGGTCTCTGGCATCACAAACGGGCTCAGGTCTGTGCTTCGGGCAGCTTAGTGCTCCATTACACGACATCCCTGCTGTGGAATCATGCAGACACCCCCCATCCCCACGCCAAAAGCAGCACCCAGGGACAAACCAGCATCACAGGAGCTAAAGCAGAGGGAGGTGAAGGGACTTGCCCAGGGACATTTGGAGAGTCTGTGGCAGAGCGTGGGAGGAGCTCCCCCCACCCCGGATTTCCCGGTCCTGGGGCTCCACACCCACACGCCCCTGACGCTCAGCACCGTGCGGCCGAGCCGCTGGCTGGATTTCACCAAGTCTCCAGCACACGTGTTCATGCTTTTTGTTCTCACATCAGGCTTTCAAGGGAGCCCTGATGAGCTCATACTGGTGCTCGGGGAAAGGCGATGTTGTCGAAGACTGGTGCAGGTGTGACCTCAACGCCTTCGATGAGAACGGACTCCCGAACTGCAGCCCTCTCCCTCCGCCTGTGTACGTATCGGTGTGAGCCCCTCCCGCGGTCACAGCCCCCTGACACCAGCCCCCTTCCCACAGGCTCAGCCCCTGGGCATCTCCTTCCCCTCACCTTTGAGCCTCGGGGCCACAGTCCAGCACCCCTCACTGTGTGACTGATGCCTTTAGGATATCCTGGCTCCGGCTGTGGCCCTGGAAGGTTTCCCCTTATAGATTTTCATCAGCTGATTAGCAGGGCTTGTAGAATGGGATTTCAAATGCTGAAAGAAATGGAATTACAGCACAATTCATTGTGGCTTGTCAGAGCAAGAGCAAATCAGGAGCAAACTGATGGGAAATTAGCTGAGAAAGCAGGAAGACTGGCTTCAGCAAGCCACAAGATGCAGAACTCCGTCATAGCGAGCCAGTATCCTCGGAGGGGTTTCGTTTCCCATCCCGAGTTCAACAAACGCACTCGTATGTTTGGAGCTGGACTCTCTGGGCTCTCCCTGGGTTTCATATTGTCATTTACCCCGGTGCAAAGAGAGCAGACGCCTGTGCACTGACAGGGCCCGGAGCACACGTGGTCCCTGATCCGGGCAGGAGCTCCTGCACAGCTGCCCTGCTTTGGCTCTCGTTCACACCCGTCAGAGGCGCGCTCGTTTGCAGCTGGCTAAATTCACAGCCACGCCTGCCCCGTCTCTTGGTCCCTTATTTAAAAGGTTTTAAAAGGTTCTCAGGACTTCCCTTCCTGGAGATTCAGCTCTGTTGAGTTGCATGAAGGTTAAGCTAGGCCCTCGCCTTCTGTTTTGCTCCTGGGCAAGTGGTCCTTAGTTCCCTATGAGGCTTCTCCCAGGAGTTGAAGGCTCCTTTAGATGGGATATTTGGGGCTGCACAGTTACGGTTGCGTGACTGAAACTTTTCCAAGAACAGGGAGAGGTAAGGACACGCATTGCAGTGGGCTGGACCCAACTGACCTTCAAATGAAAGTGCTTCCAAGCTCGCCTTCCTCTTCTCCCCATGTCCCCCATGCCGTTATGGGCCTGTGAGCACGTCCCTGTGCAGGAGTGTGAGCCCTGCCTGGGGTTGTGCTGCTCATAGAGATGGATTTCTCCTCAGACAAGGAGCTAATGTGTTATTTCTTTCCTGTCTCCTACCCAGCCTGCGGCTTTCCCCCAATGTGGAGCCCTCTAGCACTGTGGTCTCTCTGGAGTGGCTGGACGTGCAGCCTGCCATTGGCACAAAGGTGTCTGACTACGTCCTGCAGCACAAGAAGGTGGATGAGTACACAGACACGGACCTCTACACAGGTGGGTGCAGCTGTTGAGGCAAAGCTTCTCGGGATGCAGATGGTGCTGGGAGCTGCTAAATTTGTGGAGGATGGTACACACAGCCAAGGGATTATATGAGGTATCAAACCTGCTCCATTCAGGAGAAGTTTCTGAAGGTTTCTGTGGACACGGGCATCCGAGGAAAGGGTAATATAAAAATGCAGCATGGCAGAAAAAAATGATTTGCCCTTTCTGGGCAGCTCTGAGCTGGAGTTTCAGACTGAAACGAATGTTTGATCTGATCAGTCTGAAATGCTACAGGATGGTGGGTGTAGGAGGAAGATCAGCCCTGAGCAACTCAAGGGCTTTACTGGTCTGTTCCAGCAAGCACTGCATTGCATACCGGCCTTTGAAAGGACACTTTATGTTGCTTTGCTAACTTATCAAAGTAACTCAAAGCCTGCAATTTTTAGGGAGATCATTTAAGCAGCACAAAACTTCTCCGGGGAACCTAAAATTTCCCTGGGTTGGTGTTTGGCTCCCAGCTCAGGCTTGGACTGAACGTCCTGTGCCTTGCAAAGGACTTGTCAACAATTCAAGCCATACTCCAGGAGCTGCTGGGTGAGGTGGAGAAGTGTGAAGGATGAGGTTTGATTTGAGTAAATCGATGATGTATTTCAGAAAATAGCACTTGAGACCTTAAGTGATGCTACCGCTGCATGGAAAGCCGGGTGAAACCTCCTACTGCTTTTTGCTCCAGGCTTTTGGATGTAGTTGTTAAAGAAGCTCCTGTGAATTCTTGGGAGCAGCCAATATTGTTGTCTGAAGAAGGGATTTCCCTTTATGTGAAGGCTTCTTCCCCTGAATGCTGGCACTACCTAATTTCAGCCCCTTCCTGGGTAAGGGAACATAGGAAGGAGGCTTCCACCTGTCAGTGAAGCAAAGCTCTGCAACAGCTACTGCTTTGGGTGATTAAGAACCTCATTTGTTTTAAGGTGGAGCTTGGCCAGCTTATGAGAGGCATTGCATGTCCAGGCTGCCTGCCAGGACAAGGAATCAGGCTGAAGGTGAGGACAGGGCTGGCATTGGAGAGGGGAACCTTGCTGTGCTCATGTAGCCTTGCAGGAGCTTTCTGGGCATCCTGGCAAGACATTTATCCATGTTTCCCCATTGGAAAGGCAATCTGGGAAAGATCATTAAGAGCAAAATCGGGAATTGCACACAGACAGTCCTTAGGTGTTGGTTGCAAGCTTCCTAGCTTGTGGTGGGGGCTTTTTTAATTTTCCCCTCTAATTTTATAAGGTCCTTTACTGCCATGAGCTGCCACAGAGCAAACTGCTCCAGCTCATAGCCACAGGCAATTTTTCACCCTCTCTTTTCACCTCGGGCCCTCATCTCATTCTGCTTCTACAGCCTCTCTTACCACCATCTCCAAAAATCTTTGTGCTGCAAGAGTTCAGCTTTTCCTGCTGGAGAGAACCAGAGCCCCACATCGTGGGGGGCCATGCCTGTTTGTGGAGACCCCTGTGAGAAGGAGCTCTGGTTCCTGGCTCATACACCAGCCCTGTCTCTCTTGAGCTTTCTCCTACACCTTGCCAGCATCCCCTTTCAGAGCTGCCCGATGTGGCCGTGGCCCCTGGGTTATGTTTGGAGTTTCCCGACATGGGAGAGGGCTTGTTCTTTATCTTGGAGGGACACCCTCCAGTAATGCAGAAAGAAAACAAGCCACCAAAGGAGGGGCTTTGTTTTGAATGGAGATTCCAGATTGCTCACACATCGGTCAGGTGAGGCCAGACCGGGGAAACGTGGGGTTTCTCCTTTGAAGTGGCTGGATCTTTGCCTGGCAGCCAGAGTAGGAAATAGAGATTATTATTATTATTTTCCTTTTATGACTGCCATGTGTTTGACAGGCAACTGAATTCATTGTGGGGAGCTGCCCTCCCCTCTCCCTGCTCTGGGGGACTGTTTGGGACAGAATGACCCCATTAACAATTAAAGAGAAAATCCAATCCTAAATCTCTCCCTTTTTTTAATGTTGTTTATAACCAAACAACATTCCTGCCCTCATTCGTTTCTTACCCTACAGGCCCCTAATGCCAGATGACTTGATTCTTGCGTAGGTTTGCAGAGATGCTGCTATAGCTCTCAAAGGCTTTGCTTGGTATCCTGCTTCACCTAGCCAAAAATTCTAACGTGGGTATCCCCTCACTGCTATCACGCACCCGTCATGCTGCACCGCATCGCATCCGAGCAACATCCACAAAAATGAGTCAACCCCAGAATGGGGAAGCTTTGGGAGGGAGGGTTTAGGGTATGAAATTTGGATGGCTTGTGCTCGATATTGGCAGTTTCCTCTCCTCATCGATTCCCTGGCTGCTGGCAGGCAGGAGCAGGTTGCTCCCATCACTAGGAGATGAACCAGGTATCTGCAGAGCCTGGCAGTGCAGGGCTGGAAGGATCCTGCAAGGTTTAGGGGCTCTTGAGACTGCTGCCAGTCATCCCTTGGATCCCTTTGAGTTTCATGTGTGGAGTGTATGGGGGGTTTGGTGGTTTTATTGCAGTTGTAGCTGTTTCTTAGTGGGGTTCCTGGTATTGGCTGGGGCTGGAGTCATGCAAACCTGCTCTTCAGCCTCATGGTGAGCTAGATGGTACCTGGCTCCTGCCCAGCCTGCCTTCTGCCTTCCTCCTGCTCCCCCAAAGCCTCCAGTCTCTCACCCTTGCAAAAGTCCTTTGCCTTCCCCTTGCTTTGCAACTAGGAGATGTAGCCTTTTCCTTTGAGCCAGAAAACATTTGCTCCTCTTCTTCTTGGAGCAGAGTCAGGAGGGAGTTTGGAGGCTGGTCTAACGATGTATCCTCTCTGCTCCCCAGTGACCTCTGGACGGGGTGGCGATGCTGTGGGATGGGGCAGAAGGAGCTGGGAGCTCAAATGGGTCGGCTGCCCCCAGCTCTGTGTGTTTTATAGAAAGGCTTGTTACTGGTGCTTAGAAAAACACAGCCCTTGGACCATCTGAGGCTAATGGGAGGTGCACTTGTGTGCGAAACAAACCACGCTTTCAACACCAGCGTGCGGGTAGCGAGCGACTCTCCGCTCGGGAGCCAGCGGAGAAGACGAAGAGCAATTACATCCCAAACTGTTTATTAAAACTTGTGGAAATTACTCATAACTCCATGTGTGCGACGGCTTTGTAGTTGAGTGATGCTCTTTGTTTGAACATGGGGCTCTGGAAGAGGGCGCGAGCGCGCGTGTGTGTGTGCGCGGCTGAGCCCGCCAGCGCATTATGTCATGGATGAAGCAGGCGCTGCACTTGAGAGAGGGAGAGGGAGAAATGTGTTTTACAGGGTGAGGTACAAACTGAAATGGCTGTGAACATCTGGAACTGATATTAGGTTTTGGAAAATGTTTTCTGTCACTCCAACACTTCTCTGGAGGAAGGTTTCTGAAGTTAAGAAGCTCCAAAGGGGATGAGGGGGAGGGATGAGGGGATAACATGACTGTGGCGCAAAATGCTTTTTATGTCTCTGTTCTTGTTGCTGTAGCCAGGCCATGTCCCTGCTTGTGCTGGGCAGGGGACTTGGACTACCACTGTTGCTTGTTGAGGCCCTGGATGAGAAGGTCCCCTGGAACAGCTGAGCCCCACTGCCTGAGGGGGTCCTGATGGGGAGCGCTGCATCCTCTAGCCCATGATGAGTGGGAGGACAGAAGGGTCCTTGCCCTGGTTTTTAGGGTTGGGAGCCAAGGACCTGAGGTGGGAGGCTTCCTCTGAAAGGTGAAGGGTAAAATCCTTGGGTGGGGACAGGCAGACCTATGGCTGGTTTAACACCACGTGGTCCATCTCTGGAGGCCCACCTGGGTGGGTCAGACCCACCTTGGGGCTGGTGCAGGTTGGGATGTTCACTGTGAACATGTAAAAAGCAAGGTTTAAAAATAATGAAGTGCTTTGAATGTGTTTGTAGCATGCATGCAGCAGGTCTGGGGACAGTTTGGGGGGGTGGACACAGGGGGCTGGGCTCTCTCTGTGTGATGGATTGGCATATGTGGGCTTGATGGGGGACTGTGTCGCTCCTGGGGTGGTGACTGTGTTGCTGCTGCAGTGCTTTGTAGCTCTGGGAGCTTCCTGGTCCTTTTCTTGATGTTCATCTCCCTGGTGCAGTTTTTTTCCCTCCTGCCCACGTCTCTGTTTGCTGGGTTTCTGGACACACATCTATGGGGGCCTTGGCTGCTACACCAAGAATCAAAGTGAGAAAAGCTGAGAAGATGCATAGAAACGAAGCATCACTTGCCGTCAATACGGCTGAAGGTGACAGCGAACATGATGTTGCTGCACCACGCTACTTGTTCTGTGTCGCTGCTAGCAGATCATAAAAGGGTTGTGAGACTGTGCATCTCTCCCAGCCCATCACCTTCTGTCCTGTTCTGCATAGGCTCGTGCACTGTGATTTCCTCTCTTTCCTGTGGTACCACTTCCACAGCTCAGTGTGAGCTGACAGCTGGGCCAATGTATTTGGGGATATTGTGGGATATTAGCTGAATAAAGTATTATGCAATAGCAAAGTACGCTGCTTGTTTGCAGTGGTGCTGCTGTTGGCCACAAGATGCCATGTCCCCTAAGGGTGGGTGAGGTTAAGCAGAGACTCCCAAGCTTTATTTCTTGTGACATCAAGGGATCCTGACTGGTCATGGGTCCCTTTGACTGAGCGATGATCCCGTTCACAAGAAGTAGCCCTTACCCAGAACAGCTTGTAATCCTCAAAGAAAGGGAGAGAACAGAAACACGGCCTGCTGAGTGAGCTTGTTGGAGATTGCTCAGGCCTTGGAGCAGGAGAATGCAGGTTCTGGCAGCTTGGTCAGAGTCCTCTAGTATACTAGGGCCCTCTGTATCAGGGAGAGGAGCTGGCAGGTGAGCCGTGAGGGTGTTTGGATAATAGGCCAGGTTAGAGGGATATACAGAAGAGCCTGTCTTGCTGGCATTGCAGACTGCTCTGGAGCAGTGCTGTTCTGCAGAGGAGTCTTTGAGTGCGCATCGTGTCTATAAAAGAAA